AGGAATTGCACTGAATGTATAGATTGCTTTGGGTAGTATCAAGTTCACCAATTATTTTTGTACAATCTCTAGTTGACTTCAACTAACATTTTAAAATTATCAGCATAATTTTAAGATCTATTTGGTTTTTCTTTAATTTTGTCCATTTTTTTCTCATACTATTTGATTCTTTTATCAAGGATTTTTTTCCTTTAGTTAATTTTTACATTTCATTTTAAACAGTTATTTTATTTTTTTCATATTATTCTATTATCATTAGTCCTCAGAGTATGATTCTCCTTCTCACCGTGTCTGCTGATGCTCTCTCACAGGACTATTTTTAGTCTGTTTTACTGTGAGCTCAAAATTGGCAAGAGCTGCTCTTCTGGGAATCCCATAAGTTCCAGCACCTGACATTGAGAGGTTTCATATTTGCTTCTGCAAGAGCCCTGAGGATTTCAATTGTCCTTCACCAGTTTTATGTTAATCTCTCCATGTGGACCTTGTCTCACTACACAGACAATAATTTTAGAGCCAAGGGTTCTGATTTCTCACTGGTAACATTTTCCTCTTCTCTACCCAAGTCTCCAGCCAGAAATCAGGTGTCCTTCTGCCTCCCCGAGGAATTCTAATCCCTGTTTCACAGATGGGGATTTACCTAGATTTGGCACCAATCCAAGCAAGGTGTCACCTTACCCAAGAAGTGTGTCATCTCCCAGGATAGCTGACCCCTCCATCAGACACTGAGCCAGTGTTGTCAGAGGCAACTTTTTCTGAAAGGGAAACAAACAGTGTGATGAAAACTACTTTCAACAGTCACATGATGACTCTAAAATAGTAGAAAGTCAAATATGTGCCTAGGTATTACATTAGATAAGAAACGACTGCCTTTAAAACATATTTAAACCTAGAGATTCACAGTATACAACGATGGGTTAGACTTAGAGATGTCAAAATTCAGAAAATTAAAACTGAATTAAATTTGTCATTTTGGAAAATAAGCCTAAGGCTTATATGCTGCATTTTAAAATGAAGTAGGACAGCAAGAAAGAAAAAAGAGAAAAATTTAAAATTATGTTAACAAAGATTTGAAAAATGTATTACTTTCTAAAAATCAATCTCTTCCTTGAGGAGAGCATTGGCCCATTTTATAAATGAGGTAGCTTATGGTCAAGCAAGAGAGAAAAGCGTTCAAATACACCGCAAAGGAAGCAGGCTCAAAAGAAAGGCCCATCCATAGATGACACAACAATGGCCATGAAATAAGCCATGAAAAGATGATTAACTTCATTAGTCGTTAGGGAAACCCAAATCAAGGCCATGATGAGATACCACTTTATACGACGATGGTTGTAACAACATTAACAATTTTTAAAAAAGAAACCCGGAAAATAAATACTGGTGAGCATGTGGACAAATGAACCTTAATGCATTGTTAGTGGAAGTTTAAAACGGTGCAGAGCTGTGAAAGTTTAGTAGTATGTCAATAAGTTAAAATAATTACCATCTGGTACAGCAGTTTTGCTCCTGTGTGTGTGTGTGTGTGTGTGTGTGTGCGTGCACGCGCGCATGTGCATTGAAAATAACTGAAAACAGATGTTTAAATTAAAACATGCACACAAATGTGAATAACAGCACTACTGACAATAGCCAAAAGGTGGGAACAACACGAAAGTCTGTTGATGGATAAATGGATGAACAAAAGATAGTATAACCATACAGTGGAATACTATTCAGCCATGAAAAGGAATGAAGTTCTGACACCTGCTACAACATGGATGAGCGCCGAAGACATCATGCTAAGTGAAATAAGCCAGACACAAAAGGACATGTAGTGTATGATTCTATTTATATGAAATATCCATAATAAGCAAATTCGTAGAGACAGAAAGTAGATTAGTGCTTGTCTGGGGGCTGTAGGGAAGGGGGGAATGGGGAAGGACTGCTTAATGGGTATGGGGTTTCCTTTGGGGATGATGAAAATGTTCTGGAACTAGATAGTAGTGGTAGTTGCAAAAGTAAATGTATTAAATGTTAAAACCATTGTATACTTTAAAATGGTAAACTTTATGTCATAAGGAGGCAAAGGCAAGCTGCTACAGGAGTGTAGCATGACCTGTTCTCTCCTCACTATTGATGAGCCCTCTCCTTTTTGAGCTAAGACAAACAGCACACACAGACCAACAGCAGAGCAAAAGCATGGTAAGAACTGCCAGCATATCCTCTGGGCCTCCCGTCTACATGGCTACAAAGGTAACTCCTTCAAATAGAGAGTGACTGAACTACACTCAGCCCAGAGCCTCCTAGTGTTATTATTATGCAGAGAGCTTC